GCACTCAACACGACTATATAAAACGTGAGCACATGGTCAACCATCATCACAAAGGATACGTACACTTGATTTGTTGGGTGTCAGTGGCACAGGTATAGTGTGCGTAAATCTGCTTGGTAGCAGCCGACTGATTGAGCGAAACAAATCGGTGAAGAAGGTAATCGCAAGCCGCATCATAATTAGCACCTCCAGTGAAATCGGGGAAGTAGTCCTTTAGTGGCGAATATTGTAGTTTTTCTTGGAACAAATCAATCTTGTTCAAGAACAAGATGATCGAGGTCTTGACGAACCAGCGAGAGTTGCAGATCGAGTCGAAAAGCGTAAGAGCCTCTTGCATTCGGTTCACAGACTCGTCCTCGTACAACATTTGGTCATACTCGGAGAGGGCGACCAAGAACACGAGGGCAGTCACGTTCTCAAAGCAGTGAATCCACTTTTTACGTTCACTCCTACACGCACGACATTAGACAATGCTTTTCGAGGTGCACAGAAACCCACCTTTGACCTCCGACGTCAAACAGACGATATGTCAATTCTCCGACCTTGAACATGGTCTCGGTGATACCAGTGGTCTTGACACGAGACCTCAGAATATCCTGGTCGGTGGGAATGTAACCAGGCATGGACATGCGTTCAATAGAGTTGAAGTAGCTAGAATGGGGGAGAATGCGCTCAGCACCCAGAATCCGACCCTGACACACAATGGTGCTACTACTCACTAGGTCGCCGAGTCGTTAAGTTGGAACTCGCGGGCCCTCCTAACAGCTTCTTGGACTCCAGGGTCCATCCACAGACCGCGGATGGCATCAGCCACTTCGCGGGGGAGGGCATCCGTCTCGAGTTGGACGGGGAGCGCCATAACGGTGGCACGTCTGGCCTCATTCTGAGGGTTGATGCCGATTTCGAGGGTAGGAAGAGCCTCGAGAATGGCCCTCATGGACTGGACCGTGTTGGAAAAGATGATTTCCTTGTACGACTCTCGTTCTTGGTCATTGTAACCGCCGTGATGAATGAGCTTCATCTGCTTCAAGACGGTGGACTGATCACATCAAAATAAGGTTGAATGCGCGAGCGAATGAGCGAGCCGGGGAAACAATGTTTCAGTCAGTGCCTTGATTGACTTGGCTTCTTGTCGAGGGCAAACTTTGGCCCAATCAACGTACCTTTCCAGATTCACCGGCTCCCAGCAAGAGCATTTTAATTTCATTCTTCGCTTGAAGACGGTCACGCTTGAGCTGATTTTCAATCTCATCGTTGCCTAGATGTAACCGAAGCAATCGGGTGGGTCAGCGAAAAAAGCACTAGTGGGGAGAACCGCCCGGGGCCAACGGAGCTGCACATCGCTCGATTCTCCACAGGTCGCTCGCTCTGGAGAACGCGATACGATATGCAGGCAGATTGGCTCGGTGAGGGACAGTGAATTTACGTACGAGCTTTAGCCTCGTTGTCAACCGGGGAAGAAGGCACACAACCCATTTTTTATTTGCAAGTAAAGAGTGACGGAGGGGGTGGTACTAATGGGCGGAACAGTAGGTGACGATTATTGGGCACAATTTGTAGAACTGCTTGCACGAGAGGAAAAGAGACGTCGAGGTCGGGGGGAGAGGAGTGAGATGGAGGTGGTCTATGGGCAACCTTGGATTTCGGCACTTTGAAAAGGGCAAACGGAGCTATTGATCCCGACAATGATAGCCAAATAGGGTCACTTGTTCACCACCTGACTCCCAATATCCAATTCTATGCCAACAAATCAAGTGTACGTATCCTTTGTGATGATGGTTGACCATGTGCTCACGTTTTATATAGTCGTGTTGAGTGC